TTCATTGTGATTTGATTTGCATTGCTTTGTTTCTTTTGTAGTAAATCATATACGTTTGTTCTTAATTTTCCAATAAATTTTTACTTTTTTTCTTATAAGAACTATTGGTTCATTAAGAAAACTAATGTTTAGGAATATTTGTGGCAAATATATTTACACATTTTGTTGTTCAGCTTTTTATTTCACTTATGGTATTTCTATTAAGCTAAAATTTTCAGTGAGCAGAAATTTATATGTCTTCAATACCTTCATGATTTACAATTGATTTAAAAAGCATCATTGCAATTATAAAAGCAAAGTTCTTTTTAAAATTTTGAGTGTTTAAGTATTTGATACATATGGAAATGTTTTGGACATAAAGATCGAAGTAGATATCCAATTTGATATTTTCCAAAGCCTAAATCATTTATAATAGTCAACTCCTGTCATGTGATTTACCATATATCAGAATTCTTTATGTAATTTAGTTTATTTATGAACTTTATTCTGATGACTTTTTTGCCCGCATATTCATGTGCCAGGACCAAATTCTCTTGGTTACTATAGCTGTATAATATATTTAAGTATATTGAAAGCTCTCTTTTTTTTGTCTTTTACTATTTTCCAGTTATTATTTCATGCTATTTTATCACTTTTAGAATCAGCTTGTGTAATTACTGAAAATTAAGATCTTATTGATAAAATTATGGGGATTGTGTTAAATTTACAGATCAACTTGATGGAAATTGATGCTTCTTAAAATGTCATGGCATCTTACTACTACTCTCTAATAGAATATTTATATTTGTTTAGTTATTCATGACCCTCAAAACCATTTTAAAGTATTTTTATATAGATCTTATATATTGATTAAATTTATTCCTATGTATTTTTTAGTTTTATTTCATATAACTAAAGGAAATCTCTTCTCCAAATATATATTCCATGTTATGTTTTTTATCTAGAAAAGCAACTGAATTTTGAGTGATGTCAGGTTAACTATTAAATAGTTACTTAGGTTTAATATACTTTTTTAGATGTTCAACCTTATATGAATAAAAATTATAAATTAGACTTCTTATTTTCAATTTATGTCCTCATTTCTCATCTGATTGTATGGATTTTTTTCTCCAGTAAAGAAAATAGTAGTGATATATATACCTTTTGCTACTCATAAATTTTAAAGAATTATGTCGAAAAATCTGCAAGTCTATTCTTTTGTAGCTTACGAGTTTCATGTCTTGCTTCAGAAGACCCTTCCCATTGAAGACACATTGCATATTTTCTTCTAATATTTATTGTTTTCATTTTCCATCAAAATCTTTAATCCATCTGGAATTTATCTCTATATATTACATGAGATAAAAATCTAACTTTATTTTTTCCAGATGGATTGCAAAATTTCCCAACATCATTTATAAAATTGGTCATTCTTTCCTCACTGGTTTGAAATGCCACTTTAATCATATTCTAAATAGATCAGTTATTTTTTTAGCCAGAGCTTAAAAACCATAAAGGAAATGAATTACAGTAGAGAACAAAGACATGAAAAGTAGGCAAAAAATAGACATTGAGATAAATTGTGCACACACTATTTAATGTCTATCACAAAATACAAAGCTCAATCATACAAAGCCCAAAAATAGTATAAATATAAATACTGAAAGAAAATATACAGTATTCCAGTAAGAAAGATTCTGAGGATGGACACACATAAACTATAAGGCTGAGGCACTTAATTTTTCAAACATTGTTTAGTTATTCCCATCATATACAAAGTTATTTGAGCTTCAAAGCTGTAAAAAATCCTCCAGCTGCCTGGTTTAACTCTAATCAGATATTTCTGAGAGCAAATTAGAATTTCCCTTAGTAAAAAGCAGTGTGGAATTAGAAAAAAATATATGTATATGTATATGTATACACACACACACACACACACACATATAGTCTCTCTCTCTCTCTCTTGTAATTCAAGACTGATTTTACTTTTGCATCTCTAAAGCTCTGCAGATTCTTTAACTTCCTTGGAGAAGATGGAAGGTAGACAGAGCCTGGATCTTGCAGTTCTTTCTCTCTTGTAACAGTAGAACTGGTTAAGAGTTATCAATATTAAATGTCAAAGATGATGAGCATCAACATTCAACTCTGAAAGCTGGGAGAAATCCTAGAGCATGTGCATCTCCAATTCTTGCCCCCCCAGAGCTCTGAAATTTTTCTTTCAAATAACAAGTTAATATCTAATTTTACAATGGTGAATTCTGATATTTCTTGGCTGTATCTTTATGGCTATATAAGGTCTAGTGGAACAACAGAACCAATGGGGGAATTTATCTAAGACTCTTCACTGGAAGATTAGAAAAGATGTTTTTGACCAATTCAAGGTTTTTATTTTGTTATCACAACTTACATAAAAATTAACAGAATAATCAAAGGAAAAACAGTTTACTAATATTACCATGCCATCATGTCATCTGAGATTCATTCCAAAAGGGCAAAGAAAACACAAGAGATGGTAAGGAGGTGTGTTTCTGCACAGTATTATTAAAACAGATACAATATGGTTTTCTCATAAATGGTATTTGTAGAAAGGATATGGGATTGAGCTTAAATCAAACAGTTAAATAACAACAACAGCCACAACAACAAATAACCCCTTTTCTTCAGTGGTTGGGAATTGGAATGTGCTGTATCTGGGGTTGGGAGTTGACATGGCTTGTATCACACTATATAGATGATGTGAGATATTATCTTATTAGAAATAAACTGGAAACAAGTCCCAGGGTGTCAACATATAGGAGATAACTGACGTCTAGCCACTGTATAGCAAACACTTGAAAGTCTTCAACCATTACAATGTTTAGCAGTTTATAATAAAAATATACAATCAAATTAATAAATTTTTAACTTTTCATCAGTGATACAACCTGGGCTTAGGGATCTTTTCAAATTAACTAAACAAATATAGATTTACTTTCCCCACTGTAAAAGCAGCCAGTCTATAGGAGTGGGAGTACTGGCAATTGGGTTAACAAATGCTGCCCTTAGCAGATTTTCCTGGGAAAACTTGCAAAACATGTGTCTATTTTTGCCACCATTAATTGCCTAGATGGTCCTGGTGCTCTTTGACTTCCTGGCACTCTAAATAAAACCAGATTTTTGGACAGGATTTTTCTTTCCCAGGCCTTTGGAGGAGTGCTAATTACAAAATACTTTATTTAAACACTAGAAACTCATTCAGAAACCAAGCCAAGTCTCAGATTTGAAAGCACTTAAAAATATCTTTGCAACAGCCGTACTACTTTATACTTTATCTATTTTTAGAGGCTCAATGTTTGTTTTGCTGGAATAAAAAAAAATTAAAACATGAAAAGTATGCCATGGGCAAATCTGCAATAATAAGCAGCACATACATGTTGTGGAAGAAAGTATTCAACATAAAATAGTCAACACAAAAACAGATTCTGCTGAGGCATTTTTATAAATAGCAGTTATTATTTTGCTTTCCATTGCTAAGCAATTTAAATAACATGCCCTTAAAAGTTGTCAAGTTCTGTATTTCATATAAATATAATTTCCTGATCTTGTATAAAATTATTGTGCAAAATTATAAATGTATTCTGTTCAATTCATCTGTAATTTTACAATCATGTTAAAAATAGAAGCACGAGGAAGGAAAGAAATAGAATTTATTGGAAAATATACATTGCTCTGCATAAAACCAGAATATGTCTTTAAAACTTTTTTATCTAATTATTTAAATGGATATCATGTCACATCCAGATTTGTACATAAAATTGTCCCAAACAGTTGTCAATAGGTCACACCCAATTAAGGGCATACCCTTAAAAGGATCTTACAGAGTCCAGAGATGTATAAAGGGAAAGAATGGCTATTTCAATAGTGGAAAAACGAAGTCCCAGTGTGAGCAAATGAACCGCATTTCCTGATTCCCAGGATGCGATGGTAAGTTGCTACTGATGCCAGCATCCATCAAGGGCAGTGGATGGGGCTGATGCAACCCTCCATCCCCACATTCTGGAGACCAAAGCCCAAGTCAGTTTCAGTGGTGGCTGTTCAAGGAGCTGCAGCTATGTTTGCTGCTGCTGACAGACACCAGAAACCATGGTAACATTTAAGGACCCAAAACACCTTTATTCATTGCTCCTGAGCTGTCCTGGTTCAGCTCACATGATGCGACTTGGCAATACAGAAAACAGTAAAGTGGGTTCAGAAAAACACTGATGAATACTGCAAATCGTATTCAGAGTTGAAATTGTGACTATTCTAGCATTTTACCAGTATTTCCTGCTTTGCAACCAGTAGATACGTAACCGAAATGGCTTGCTGTGAATTTTGTAGTACCCAAGCCAAAAGCAATAAAATTTCTGTAAGACCATATGTGCCATGACAGAATACCACATCAGCCCAGAAAAATGATTTTCGTGGGAAGGCCTGTGTAGCGATGAATACGGCTCTGTATGATATGGAAGCTGGGCAGAGATTTTCTCTGCTTCCAGCTCACAATGAGGTAATTTTAAAGGCACTTTTCCCTCATTTGTTCTGCATTCACTGAATGTACATTTTTTGATGTCAGAGGGACATTGCAGAAAAGATTAGACGAGATAGTCTGACAATGCAGCCAAAGTTCAAAGCTTCTGTATTTTCAGGTAACAGCTGCGACAGTTTGTCTGCACTAAATCTTTCCAGGGCATGTCACGTCAACCCTGTCCATAGCTTTTGAAACAGTTCAACACAAACAAATCACTTAGCTATTGAACAACTATCACATCTGATACCATCACAAGGAGGTTGTAGCCATAGCCACTAATCAAATGTTCCTTCCATTTCGTCAAAAAAAAAAGAGAAAATTCTTCTGCTTTGACTTAAGATCACTTTTTCATGTTGTTTCTTTGAAAGTTACCATATGCAAAGATTGGGGGAAAAGAAGAAGGAGTACACCACGGCTGTAAGAAAAATCCAAAAGTCAAAATTTGTAACTGCATGCTGCTGAGAAGAAATAACTATGGTGTCAGATGGGAGTCCTCCGAGGTGACTGGGGAGGCCCGCAAAGGAATGGACAGTCCCTCCTTTGACCCAGAGGGTTGAGCCAGGTATCTGTGTTCTGCATTGGTGGCTTCTGACGGGTGCCTCAGGGAAGCACGGAATCCCAAGGCCAACACCACCAGGCGGTAAAGGTGCAACACCACCACGAGGAAATTCTTCACCGCGAAGAACACCAGCATTTGATTTATCACTTTAAAATAGGTTATCAGTATGAGCCTCACAACAAGGAATGGGCCATCTTGTATGAAGACGCTGATTCCGATGTTCCACAAAGAGGAACTGCACTGGCAGAAGAACTGCTTGATGTATCCCCGCCTTGTCACAGCCAAGGGGCACTCGATGTGATGTACTGAAAACACAAGACAGACCCATTAGCGTACCTCTCTTAAATGTAGAAATGGAAGACAGATGAAATCAGACAAGTCAATAACAATGGGCCCTATACTAGTAAATGGTGGGAAATGACTCTGATTTAATTTTGTCTGGAACAGGTGAAAGCTCCCTGGTCCTTCCCAATGCATGGTTTTCATTAACTGAAAAAAAAAAAAATTCAAATCAGCCTCTTGTTCTCACTCAGGAAGCCTCAGTTAAATAGAGTGTTAAACAGAGAATAAAGAATTAAGGAGACTGCCACATGTGTCTTGGAGGCCTGCACTGTAGGACGGCAGTTGAGAAGTGGACTCAAGGCCTCATCTGGGGGAGTCTGGCTGCGAGATAATGAACAGCTTATTTCTTGCCTCAGTTTCTTCCTTTGAAAACTGGGATAACCGTCTGTGTGAGGACAGGGTTTCCTGCTCATTGGTTCATTTTGTTTCAATTAGAAATGACACCTCTGCTTCTCTTCCCTCTCTCATTCAATCTTCCCTTTGGAATGATGAGTGGCTTCCTTGACTGTTAAATTTGACAAAGTGTACCTGAGTCAGATCATTCTAGAACTTCTCATTAGTATCTACCTATTTTCTTTCTGACTGACTCAGTCATATGTGTAAAATGTGCTGTGAAAACCCAAGCGCTTATAATCAAATTCAAATTTAATTCATGTCAAACACATTTTTCTAATGGGGGAAGAGTCCAAATAAATGCCATTGTTATTTTATTTTGTCCTAATTTCTTATGCTTTTGTTTCACAGTTTCCTAGAAAGACTGGATATAATTACTGATTTTCCAGTTGTACAAAAGGAGGTCCAATCAACAGATGAACCTTTTTGTTTTAATTTATAAAATGTAAATTTAATTCAGGGTCAAGGACAGAAAATAATCCTTTTATAATAATGAAGCCTTCCATTTGGAGTTTTCAAACAAAGAATGCCTTCGTTTACTGGAGCCTGCAAATATTATGAAGCTGCTTTGATATGGGTGAACATAATGTACTGTTTGTTGGAAAATACAATAGTGATTTAGTCAGAAGTAACATTTGGTCTTTGTTTTTCTAACAGCTGCATAACATTATCACCCCTGAAAATTCACAAAATTTCTTTCTTAAATAAAAAAATTTCTTAGCAAGGCTATAAACCACAAGAAATGAGAGGGTGAGGATAAGCATAGTGAATGACAAAATAAAAACCAACATAAAAATCAGTAACGGCTTTTCCTAAGAAGTAAGAGTCCGGAAGTGGCTCCAAGAGGGCCCTAAAAGTATTACTGGGTACTTACAGTGATGGGCCTGAATATTCTATCAGCAGACCAGATGACCAGCTAATATTCTATCAGTTGATTAATAAGAATTGTGCACCTTCTAGGGCACACTCTAACAAAATCAGTGTGTGTATGTGTGTGTATGTATGTGTGTGTGTTAGAATATAATTGTTTGTCATTATTAATTAGTAATTAGGTTTTGGTTTTTTGAAAAAGTTCCAGCAACTCTTTCCATCTGTTCTGATGACAAGTTTGTTTTGCAAAGTGGAAGCTAAGATCTAAAATGGTCTCAGTTATCTGAGCTTATCAAAGTGAACCAAAAAAAAAAAAGAAAAAAAAAGTTAAATATGCCTGTCCTAAGGATTCATTCTAACCCTGAGACCAGCAGATAGAGTATTTAAAAAAAAAGCCAGACTAAGAAAAATGTAATAATTAAATTCCAGAATTTCTCCAAAGTGAGGAGTTACCCAGCAGAATTGCAAAACTCCATGGTACCAAAAAGCTGTGGTATGGCTCCATGTCAACACTGACCAACTGAACTTTCTGAGATGGTAAAAATTTCCACATCTTTACTCCCATATCCATATCCAATATGGGAGCCACATGTGGCATTTGAGCACTTGAAATGTGGCTAGTGTGACTAAGGAACTAAACCAATAATTTTACTTGACTTTAATAAATTTAAATTTGAAGAGCCACACATGTCAAGTGGCTACCATGTTGGACAAAACATCTGTATATCCTTGCTACTATGAACTGTCCAGGAAAAAGCTTGCTTCTTGCAAAGTCTTTAAGGTTTATATATTGATTCAAGTAAAATCAAATGTCATTACAAGGGCTGTCATGGAGAAAAATTTTAATTTTTCATATTTGGCCCTCAAACATCGATTATTCCCCCAATACATGGCTCTTACATAGGAACAAAAATAAACCCTTACGAATATCAAAGAGATACTACTTTTATGCCAGCAACTTGCTAGACTCTTTATAAACTCTATGTTCATCACAAGTGCCATCAACCCTCCCTGTCATGATTATAATTACATTTCATGGTTGAAGAAACTAAGCCACAGACACACTAAAAAATTTTCAGGGGATTTTACAGATCATAAATGGTGGATCCATTATTTTAGTGAATATAAAGTTGTGTGATTGTCCACCGAACTATCTTCAGCTCATTATGCACCAGTGGATCCACTCATGGCTTCCCAATGTTTCCATCTACTTTCCTCCTAAGCTGAACTGTAACTAACTCTGGAATATCAAAATGATAATTCTCTCAATTATCTCATTAACTTTAGCAGAGTTTGCAATCAAAAGTTTTAATCTGATGTTTCTTTGCATAATTTTCAAGACGTTTACCTGCCAGGTCCAGTGGAAACTGCAACATACTCCATGTCCATAAAGCAAGGATGATACAGACTAGCTTAGGGTTATTCCTAGAATGCAACAAAATTTTAAATTAGTAATAAAACATATGATCACATGCAGAATAGAGAAAGTTTCTCAACCCACATATGAATCTATTCTTAATAAACCTCTTACAACTTGTAAAAATATGTAGGTGATATAATAAATCCATGAAAAAAATCCATGCATAAAGGAATAATGAAAAAGAAATGAAACATAAAAAAATCTAAAACTTACACTCAACATAAGCATGAATTATGACAAAACCCCTCGTTCCCACATTGCTCATCAGTTTTACAAGAGAATGGAAACATTATGGGAGAGAAGTGTAAGGAGGAAATGTTAGATATTGACATGGATGTTGAGAGGTCTGACTTCAAGAAATTTCAGGGGGAGACGCTGATGATTCTTCCAGGATTATAAGAGTCTAATTGAAAATGTCTCCCCAAAGGGTAAAATAATGGTTAAAATTAAAAAGTTAAGCATGTGAAAGAAAAGTGTCTTTAGGTGGAAAAAATGGGGCGATAAATAAATATTTGATAAATAAAGACTTATACCAGATACTGGACGGTAAAACAAGGAATATGTCTATTTCATGTACTGCTGTATCCTCTGTGTCTAGAACAGTGCTTGGAAAGTAACAGGCTGTAGATATAAATATATAGATATAGTTACACACACACACACACAAGCACACCCAAGGCTTCATGCTTGCTAAGCAAGCACTCTACTGCTGAGCTACTTCCCAGCTCAGGACTCAACATACATTTATTGAAGGAATCATTAAATATACACAAGGGCCTGTGCTTGGGCCAATATACGGATATATTAGAGCTAAGAAAATGGTGTAGAAGACTAAAGTCAAAAAGAATAGGGGTAATGGAAATGCAAAGAATATTTTAAAAGTACCAATGTCATATTTATTTTTAGCAAGAATACAAATGAAGTTATCAACTTGAAGTCAGTGATGAACAATAGATTTTTGTTTCTCTTTTGTCAAGAGAGATTTTCAACTGGAGAGGGCTAGAAAAGCATCAGGGGAAGAGTAATTGAAACCAAACTAAATAGGGTGATTGTGAGGGATAAATGCTTCAAGTGTTGAGACCCTGAAAAATAAAATTTCAAAACTCTGAGAGAATTTGTAAATGAGATTTTCTGAGCCATCGTGATCTGTCTTGGCAGTTAATGGTGGAGACAATATTGGTGACAGGAAAAAAAAAAGCCTCAACTTCCAAAAAGAAGCAGAAATATATCTTAAAATACAAAAGGCCCATTAGTTTTAATGCCTATTTAGATTATACAAGTGATTCTTCAAAAGATTTCTGAGAACCCTTATAGAAGAAGACAGTAATTACCAAGAATCAGCACAGGTTCTCTGTGAACAATTGCACTGCTCTAAACTTATTTCATCTGCAGGTGATGCTACATAAATTGATGATAGACATTTGGATTTATAAAAAGCTTCCTGGAGAAGGTTTCCCAAACTGTCCTATTAACAAAATTAAGAAATGTTCTGGGTGTGAGTACTTCAAGGCTGATTCCTAACTATGTAAATGACTCCCCAGGAGTCCTCTGATGAGTTGCTGCAAGATCTTTCTCTGATTCTGTTCTACTTCACATTCCATCAAGGGCCAGGTTGACAACACTGATGGGAGAAAGGTTTCTCACAGGCACATGCGACTAGGAACTTTGGCAGAAAATCAGGAATTAGAAAGACACAATCAGAATTCCAAAAGATGGAACTGGATAAACCTAAATTAGAAAGAAAGGATAGAAGAGAGAGCATTTCAGAAGCAGCTTTGAAAAAGGCTCCAGGGTTTTTCCTTACTCTTACATAATTATAAATCCACAGGGTGAACTGATTTATGATTTTCCAAAATCAAATGCAATTGGTCAACTCACAAGAAATATAAAATCTAGAATTTTAAGTGGAAGTGCCTTTGGAACGTGGATATCATATTTCTCTCTTTGTAACATCCACATCTACATTCATTTTCTATACACAATAAGTGCCTGAATTTTAAAATAATGTTACCTGTAGTTTCCAACCTTGAGACGTGTGTAATAGGCAGTTTTCTAAATGATCACTTCATGATCTCACTTGATTCTCATATCAACTCAACAAAGTAGGCATAATTATCATTCACATTTGACTAAGGAGGAAACTGAGTCATAGAGAATCAAGGTACATTGTCTAAAGTAACATGGTTTTAAGAATTAAGAGCAGAAAATTTCAACCATTACATTATGCTATTTCCAGGAATGGAATGGAAAGTTTTAACCCTACTCTATTCTATAATACTCAGAACACACCTGAAATATTATGTATTATGCTTCATGGTAAATTTGTAAATTTATTTGTTCCAATGGGGAGAGACAACTATGGTAAGGGAATTTGGAGCTGTGTTAGATGTGGATTGCTTAAGAAACTGAAAACCATACTTTTAAGTTTTATTTAGTATGTTTAAAGGGCTATAATGGGGAAAAGAAAGTAAACATATCTGTGATTTCACAGGGACAATTCAGGCTCAAAACATCTGGTTGCATCTGTAGGAACCCAAATTTCATCACAACAGAAGAAAATACTTTCTAATAATATTAACTCAAACCTGAATAAGTTGCTACTTAAATCCATATATCCTGTAATAGGATTTTTCAAATAGACCTACAGAAGAACTTGTTAATGTTTTGGAGAGGACTTTTCAGTAGATGCAAAATAGATTTTTCCTAAGATGGTCACTTCTAAAGTCTTTTGTAATCCCAAACTTCAATAATTCTCATAAAAACTCATATGCAATTTGTCTGCAAGGCAGTAGAATGTGGTGGTAATGCATGGGATCTAGTAGAAAGTGATCATAATTTAAATATCAGCTCCCACTCTCTCTAGAGAAATAGGATGAGGGACTCTCATCCTGGATTGATCAATTATAAGCTACATGAATATATAAAAGTAGTTTAGCATCTGCATGCTTTATTTTACCTATCTGCACTATGAGGATAACCATAACAATAGCTATTAGATTTTATTTGATTGTTTTAAGTGTATTACTTTACTATGTTAAAGATAGAAAGATCTTGGAACAACACCTAACACAGGTTAAGTGTGAGAGAACACTGCAAGTCAGTTTTATTTTATTACAGGTAATTTTGAGACTTTCTAACTATATATATATTTTTCTTATAAAATGGACATAATGGAAGTCTCTGCTCATAGGGCTACTTTAAGTGCTAAATAACTCATTAAAGAACTTCTTGGCACACAGCAATTGACAAATACGCATTACATTCTTGTTGTTGTTATTATTATTATTGATGATGATGATAAAGATGATGATGTTAACTTGCTTCTTATATTCTTTCATGTCTCAATTTTATCCTCTTAGGAAATAGGGACAAATTATAGCCTAACCTTGCCATAATCTTGCAATAATGAATGTTTATTTTTACACATACTTACCTATCCACATATAAAATACGGAAGAATATAGGTATTGGGAAAGATATTGGTAAAATTATAAAAAATAACAGTGTAACAGTGGGTCTAAAAATCTTAAAGCAGACAAATATGAATTATTGAATCACACAGTGAAACTACTCAAAAAGGTTAAATGAAAATAAATCACTGAGCTAAAGTTGCAAAAGTCAAGATTTTCAAAGGAACTTGGGGGTGGATTTATCCACTATGGTTCCACGTGTATAATCCACCTTCATGCATGTCAACTGAGGAGCATGGCAGGCAATGGCCTTCATAAAGAGAAAAAGATCTTGAGAAGTATAATGATTGATGTATCATTTTCCTACTTGGGAGGATAAAAAACTAGCATTTGGTGGATCAGCATTCCATCCTGGGCTGCAAATTAAAAATAAAGTCATACTTTGCCAACTTGCTTAACTAATTCTTTCTGGAAATATAAATATTCTTATAAACAATGATAATCAGTGAAGAAAATTTAGCTAGCTTTTAAAAAGTCATTTGACAAAACACATAAAGAGAATAAGAAATACATGAGAGAAGGAAAAAGAAAGAAAACAAAGTGTAAATTAGACTCGAAGAAATGTCTCATTAAGCAAAATAAAGAGAAATTAAGAAAAAATACAGTAAGATTTTTCTTTGTGTACTAAAATACAATGAAATACCAGTAATGTAATGGAAATAGATTTTCTTCTTAGTAAATGATTTGTATTCAGCAAAAGATTGCACAATGATTTCCAAATTATGAATGGCCAATAGAACTCCTCCTGGCAATGATGTTGGAATTCAGACTTATGACAATGTCAGAAGGTGGGTACAGCAAAATCAAAAGGTCGGTAAATCTTTCCCCCAACAAATAAGTATAACACCAGACAAATTGTCAAAAATAACCATTCCAGGTTATGGAATGCAACCAGAGGCAAACAACAAATTGATTAGCATTTATTCATGAAAATGTCGGACTTCAGGTAAAGAGCAGGGAGAATCTGCAGCATTTTTACTCATGGATATTGTCATATCTTCAGCCTGACTGTGTTCAAGAAAAATTGCACTGGACGGAATTAAACAGGCAAGGAAGAATTAATTCAGCACTCTTGCAAAAAGGGAGATAGACTGAACACAACTCTGCTGAAACAAAAGATAGGAGTTTTTAAGTACTGGGGTGAGCTAGTGGAAAAGTTCAGGGTGGAGGTTAGTCAATGTGATTAGATCATTTCTGTTTGCTAATTGTCATGTATTAATGTTGTACACATAGACTGGAATTTATCTTTCTTCATGATATTTTTTACATTTACAATATACATTACTGCACTTAAAAGACCTGGCTCCTAGATCCCTGAAAAAGACATTCTTGGCTTTTCAACCCTCAAGATTCTGGGAGAAGATTTACATCTCAAAGAGACGCAGAAAAGATTTACAATTTCAATTTTGTTTTTTTAAATAAAAGCTCTAGGAAAAAGGAAGCCCTGGACTCTAGGCAGTAAAAGCACATAAAGTTAATTCAAGTTGTGAACATGTTAAGACCATCTTGATCAGTAGGAATGGTAGTTTTACCAA